ACTTTAAAGAGTCCTCTCCTGCTGATGTTCAGGTGTATATCAGTGTAGTGTCTCTACTTTAAAGAGTCCTCTCCTGCTGATGTGCAGGTGTATATCAGTATTTAGTGTCTCTAATTTAAAGAGTCCTCTCCTGCTGATGTTCAGGTGTATATCAGTATAGTGTCTCTACTTTAAAGAGTCCTCTCCTGCTGATGTTCAGGTGTATATCAGTATGTAGTGTCTCTACTTTAAAGAGTCCTCTCCTGCTGATGTTCAGGTGTATATCAGTATGTAGTGTCTCTACTTTAAAGAGTCCTCTCCTGCTGATGTTCAGGTGTATATCAGTATGTAGTGTCTCTACTTTAAAGAGTCCTCTCCTGCTGATGTTCAGGTGTATATCAGTATGTAGTGTCTCTACTTTAAAGAGTCCTCTCCTGCTGATGTTCAGGTGTATATCAGTATGTAGTGTCTCTACTTTAAAGAGTCCTCTCCTGCTGATGTTCAGGTGTATATCAGTATTTAGTGTCTCTACTCTGACATGCCTCCATGCTTTAATGTTCAAAAAGCTCTTTATTGTTCTCATACTGCCTGTGCTGCAGCACCTCCCCTCACCCTCTGTCGGAAATGTTTTTTTTACCTAAACTTTATGTGAAAGCTGAGTTTGTATTCTGAGCTAAGTGCACCTGTCAAGTCAATAAATAAAGAGTTTATATATACAAAAGACACTGTGATCCTTTAGATTTTTCTCTGACTTTCTGCTAAATGCTTTCTCTTTAAACGGCACAGCGCTTCCACTTTAATATACATCAACATATTTTATTGTGTATTGTAATATTCCGATTATATCTTCTTATATTGCAACTGTATTCCTCATACTCTCTCTTTGCATGCACCATTATACTCCTAAGCAAATATGTGTAAACCTACTTGGCAATAAACCTCATTCTGTTTTTCCAAGTAACATTTCGATGTGTTATCTACAGCTCATATCTCGTCTCCTGCACCTGGTCAGTGTTGGGTTGTTTTAACCATAGAAGACCATTGTTCCCCAATCTTTAGTGGAAAAAGGTTCCGCTTTTAGTCTTTGTTCTACTAAGTGGGATCTCACATCAGAAAATTGCTCATAATACCTTCATTTTGTCATTTAGGGAATAACAAAATGTTGGGATTGAAACACGGATTCCTGTTTAGCTTTGTATCCGATGAACAACTTTCACAAAACACAAATACGTGCCGCTTAATTCCTCTTTTTGTACATCTAAACTTCATCTCCCCTCCCATTTCTTTCCAGACATATTGAGTGATTTCAGAGTGTGTGTGTAGCTGTTAGCCGGTCTGCTTAGCCTTTAGATTTCATTTCTACAGAACTTCTCTTCCCCTGAGCTCTCTTTCCCTCTCCATCGATCCGTGTGTCTCCGTCACTCTTTTAAAACTCCACATTTACCACGAGCCGGGCAGCAGTTCGGCCCCGAGGCGGCGACAGCTGCAGAAACAACGCTTTCTCCTCCAATCTTTAACATTGACGGGAGTAATGTAGCGCAGCCGAAAACACTGTGACTGCTGGGTAACGGATAATAAATCTGCTGCGCCAGGATGCCTGTGAGCAAGGCACTTTAGACTTTACTTTAGTTTGATTGATCTTTGAAACTTAGACCAATGAAGCCACTTATTCAAAGAGCGAGGAGCCTGCGGACACCAAGGAGATGTTGACCAATGGAGTTTTGCTCAGGTTTGTATATTTCTTTATTGGAAATGTGATACTTTGTGGGGAAGAAAGGTCCTTTAACTTACTTTTTTCTATACGTACTTGTTAGCATTGCTTAATATACATCTAGGGAGTACAATAATAGCCTTCATCACCCAAAATAAGACTAGTTTACCATATATGTTCATGCTTTCTTTTGTAAACTGGAGAGAATAAGGCTCCCAATAAAGTACTCCAATAATGAAAACCAAAATTAAGTTTTAAAAAATGATAACAATGTTGATATCTCTAATCTACGACTCTTGATCAGGCCATACCTGTGTTTGCACATTGCATTAGCATTACTGAATATTAATAAGCTTTGTCACCCAAAATGAACTTAAAATACTTATATTTTCATGCTGTTTCTTTGTGAACTGTAAAGAAAAAGTAAGGTAAAAGGAAATTGATACCAGTGCACATATATCTTAGACTCTTGGAGCACTACTGGATTCAAACCTAGGGAGTATAACAATAACCTTTATCACCCAAAAAACACTATAAAAGAGAGAAATGTAAAACAAGTAAAAGTGATGTAATGATAGCAGAGCTCTTATCTCTTATCTCCAGGTCTAGACGGAGCCTCACCTGCGTTTGCGCAGCTTCTTGTTCTCCGTCTTCAGCACGTGGAGCTTCTTGGCGAAGCAGACGACGATCATGAAGAGCAGCAGGAGGACGACAGCCGAGGTGCCGACGGCGAGACACATCACCTGGAACTCCGTCACCACCGACTCACAGCGAGCACCTTTGTGCCAGATGTAATCCTGGACGTTACACCTGAAAGAGAAAGAGAGGAGAGAGGCTGTCAGGGTCAGAAATCCTTCATTTGTCCCTTAACTTGGAAATGTACGAAAAAAGATGGAGAGAAATATGTCATTTTAGAGATTTTATAACAGAGATTTACGGGAGGCTGTGGCTAAGTGGGATAGTGCGCTGAACTTTGAATCAGGGGATAGCAAGTTTGAGTCCCACTGCAGTCAGCATGTCGTTGTGTCCCTGAGACACTTCACCCCAAATTGCTCCTGTGGGGATTGTCCACAGTATTGAGTATGTAAGTCGCTTTGGATAAAAGCGTCTAACAAGTGACATGTAATGTAAAATGTTGTCATGTTGGCTTTGAGCACCTCCCTTTTCCATTTCAATCTGTTTGTGAACATTCAGGATTTACTCTCTGTTCCTGATTATATTTAATTGCTTTGGTGTGTCGTCTGAAAAATCTCCAAAAACTTCATGTGCTTCACAAAACGTTACATAAGTCTTCGGTGTTATTGTGAAGTAATCAACCTCAGGCGCGTTAGCAGGAAGTAAGAGTCGCTGGTGGGATGGCTTTATTAACAAAAGGATAATATCACTTTGTGTGTCCGAAAATAGAAAGTGAATGGGGGGGGCAACACACACGCAACACACACACACACACACACACACACACACACACACACACACACACACACACACACACACACACACACACACAAACAAAGTGCACTTGCGTTTATAAGATCTTACACAATACATACAGTATGGTCATCCATGTGTGTGAACATTATGGGCCCATATGTGCACGCACGCACGCACACGCACACGCACGCACACACACACACACACACACACACACACACACACACACACACACACACACACACACACACACACACACACACACACACACACACACACACACACACACACACACACACACACACACACACACACACACACACACACACAGTTTGGCAGAGTACGGTGTCCGCCCAGGGACATAAAGGCAGATGGCTTTGTCTACACACTGATGTAAAACGGCACATTTATTTCCCCCACTTAACGAGACTTTATCGCTGCTGAGCTGATTCACCGTCACATGACAGAGCGATGTGAGGCTTATTCTGATCATGTGACTATAGGACTGGTTTCTTTTAACAGAAATATAATTTATGTCTGAGCAGACAAATATAACACCCAGAAAATGTTCTTTTTAAAAAGAAAGACAAATGTTTTAACTCATTCTTCTTCTTGAACGCAGGGCTGTTAAAGTGCCTGACACAAAGTCCGAATACACAACTGCCAGAGGGAGGTTTTCAAGCATGAAGGAAACTGTGCTCACAGTTAGAGGAGCATATAAATACATATATAACAGAGTTGCTTTTTTAAGTAGGTTTTATGGGGTCAAAAAGAGCGTAAACAGCGCTCTGAGAAGAAGAGATTTAATTAACGAGTGACCAAGCAATGAACTGTTCTCTGTCCTTCTTTTTGTCACACATAGACATCAGGCACGCACGTACGTACGCACGCACGTACACACACACACACACGCGCGCGCACACGCACACGAGGGGGTGTGAAGTGAATGGAGGTGTCGGGGCGTTTTCCCGCTTGGAGCTACGTTCTTCACATGCTAAACAGTCTCTTTTCTTTTCACCGACCCACTTCCTGTATCCTTCCTGAATCCTTGAAGCTTTTTTAATTTGCCAGCTGAAGGGAAATAAACGATGGCATCGAGCCAGGAGACATCGAGAGTGTGTGTGAGTGTGTGTGGGCGTACGTGAGAAAAAAAGAGAGATGATGCCTGACATCACATTTTCAGAGAGATTCAACGCATTCGTACATAGACGAGGTTTATGTAAGTCAGGGTTGGATGCAACGAGGGAGGGGAGGGAAAGGAGGGATGGAGATGGAGATGGAGATGCATGGAGGAACAAGCGAGGATGTGCTGGTCATCATGGCAACCCAGCTGAGCAGATGTCATTCCATCACACAAACACGCCGTCCACCGGGACACCGCCGAGCCTTAGCCTCTATTTCCCCATTTCTATTCCCCTCTTCCTCTCCATTTCCCCCTCCCTCTCCCCCCTCCTTCCTCGCTCCCCTCTCCCCTCGCTGCTTGTCTTCTTGAAAATCTCTTTTTCTTGTTCACTGGCTCTTTTCCCTCCCCATCTCCCCTCCCTCCCTCCCCTCTCTCTCCTGCACTTTGCCCAGCGCCTGCAGCTGAATCATGTCTCCGCTTTCATTTCGTGCAACTGATTTTTTTTCCCCCGTCTTCCTCTTTCTTTGACATTAGATGCTGAAAATAGAAGTCCGAGGTGAATGCTCTGGCTTGGCTATAGTTGTAAAGAAATGAGAAAAAGATTCAGAAAATATAAAAATCAACTGAACCAGTAAGCCTGTGAATCGAACGCCTGATCTTATCGTATTCCTCTAAGCACTAGTTGTCCAAAACAACATGAAAACACCAACGCTGAAAACACACAAGGGAGTAGCGAAGCTTGTGTAGCAATTAGATTTGTTTGTGTGTTTCAATACAATGCTTAGAAACATGGGTCAACATGTTACAAACCACAGGGACTCAGCACTTCTCATAAACATTGATTAGCAGCTTGCCGATTATAGCGATGTTCTGCTGCTATGGTGTGTTTTTTGCATAAGGCATATTTCCCCCCCCCAGATTGTTGGTCAAAAAGTAGATTACCTACCATCCGGTGGGTCTATGTTTTTTATTTGCTTCCCGTTATAGTTTTTATGAGCAGATTTGTGAGTAAAATGTCAAAGTTCTTGCAGATAGCCATAATGCTATCAGGGCTATAAGGTAAGTAGAACATGTGTATTCATCTGCAAATTAAGATATTCCCCAACCAAAGCATTGAATACACCTGTTTGTGTTTTGTTTTGCTAAATCAGAGCCAACACACTTCTGGTTCTGGTCTTTGTGTCAGATCTGTTGACAATAAGAGAAACACAGAAGGGAATTGGCCGTATCCATTAAGATAAGGAACATAACTTAATCAGCTGACGAGAGGAAACAGTTCTTGGCTGAATTTTGACGACACTCTTTTTGAATTTAATTCCCATCTGAGAAGAAAAGTCTCTGGTCCAGGACAGCTGCATCCAACTGGAAACAAATTGGAAATGGCTCCTCATCGGGGACAAATTAATGTCTAGTGTCAAAGTAAGAATAACCGATCGCTCTCTGGCCAGCCTCCCTCTTTCCCACTCCTTCCCTCTATAAAATCTTCCACGTGTCCCTCAGGTCTTCCCATTGTCTCCCACTGCAGAGTCCACACTCCAAACCATCAATATCTCAATCACTGAATTTAAAATATTGTCACAGCCCTGCAGGAATATTAGGCATCACTCCTCTCAATATGTACACTATTAGACTCACCCACTGGGGCAAGAGAGAGTGTTTTAGTTTAGATTACAGACGGTGACAGTGGTTCAGGTGGGGTTGTGGTTCTCTAATAAGACCCCCTGCTGGTTTAGATGAGGAGTAATGAAGGGTGAGAGACGAGGGGTCTGGGGGGAGAGTCTGCAAGGCCAACTGAAGACAGATGGGTTTACAGCTGAAGGCCAGCACAAAAAAAGACATGAGGCGTATTTCTGGAAACTGAAAATACTGATATGAGATGCAACCAAAGGAGTCAACACTGTAGCTTAAAGCGAAACTAAAGCATGTGTCATTCTGAAACACTCAGGGGTTTTGTTTTGTTATTCCTTTTTCGCCCATTTCCCATTTCACACATTTCCCATTTCGCCCCCTGTCCCATGCAGCCCCAACAACAGCCTCTGATTCGTCAACAGACTTCATGCAATGCTTCATGGGATGCATCATTAGATCTACAAACTCTAACCCTAACCCTAACCCTAAGACCCACGACCAAGCAAAACAAGTATCATTTCTTATGTGGCCTAATGTAAAAAAGGGGCGGGATGGGAAAGGGGCGAAATGGAGAAGGGGCGAAATGGGAAGACACCAAAAGGAGATTTCCTACAACTGCAGGATGTGTAAATAAGGAACTGATTGAAAAACGTTTCGCCACATCAGCTTAAAAAAAAGTGAGATATACAGTATTAATGTTATATTCACTGATTAAATATTAAAGAGCTTACCAGCTGCAGAGCTTGTTGGCCGGCTTTGACTAGCGACTCCTCATGACATTTTAGACATGATTTATACTGTATGAACTTTTCTCATCCAAAAAGATATCATATTTTATCCAGTCCCTCTCAGTTTTGACGTAGAGCAAGCAGAGGTCTTCAAAGAAAGGTCTTTTTAAGGTTAGAGTGAGAACGAGCGAACAGAAGGCCGGACCTAAACATGCCGGATCTGAACTGACAGGAGAGGTTACATCAGGGTGATTTCTGAATATTTTAGCATAAATCCTATATTTGCATAAAAAACAACACTATTTTTGAACATTTCTTCCAGGAAGCAGTGTTTATTTTCTTATGCAATGGCTGCAGAGAGTGGAAGAAGGGCGGACAAACTGCAGCGCCCAGAAAGAGGTGAATCTGGACACTTTTTGGATGATGAAACATCGGCTGCTGGTACTGACTCTCAAACAAAACCTCAGTGTGTTTTTTATAACTAAACTAGTTTCTCATTTTGCTGAAGGCTTTGGGAGGAAAAGGACAACCGCTGGTCAGACTGAGGGCAGGATTAAAAACTGGATCTGATTTGAAAACTCAAGCGGAGGAGGATGAGAGACCTTGATGTTATCTGATGAGATGATTTAATGGGAAATCTAATGAAGGATGAAGACAGAAGATAAAACATGGTGTTGTGTTTAAACAAGAAAAAGATGCCTGACTTAATTAAAGTTCATAAAATAAAGCTGTGTGACTTCACCAACTTTTGATTATGTCATCCTCTCACTTCACTACAGGAAAGGGAAAACCCTAAAAAGCATAATAGGGCCTCTTTAATTTGTATTTTCATTTTACCAGTATACTTAATTTTTCTATATATGTCATGCTGCTTTTACAGTTGTTTTGGTTCAGACAAC